ACTGTTCTGCCAAATACGATACAATATAGCAATTTGGGACATTGATTCAGGTAATAGATATATGTTAATCAACGTAACTTTGAATGATAATCTGGATGCTGACTTTCTTTTCCTGAAACAATAATAGCGTAGGAATATAGTTTACACTATCTTATTTATTTCGTGTTCGCGGCTGGACTGCGTTGCTTAGAATATCAATGGAGGCTGTGTTGCGTTGTTGAAATAGCTTTGTTTACTGGACTGCGTCCACTATGAATGCGCAGTTTGAATCTAATTTTCTCCTCATGAACACATTCTATTATCAAATCATTTTCACGAATTATACTCGGAGCCTCAACTAACCTTTAGATATCAGAAACGTGTTAAAACTCCTTTCAAATGTATAGTAAATTAAATAATATGCACATATTTTACAGGTAAAATCAGAACTTTGCTACTGTTTTAGCTTGATCTGGACAACTGCTTATTTTCTTATCTACAGACCAACAGTAGATACAGAGTAATATTTTGGTCACCGATTAGACACTACGATAGCATTTAAAATACCTGGATTTCTCTATTTTGTCGGAAGAAGCAGAATGCACTGTCGGATGTCTCTCCATTTTGGCGCTGGGCTGCGGTGTAAAGTTACGCGAGTCGCAGTCCGTGGCTTCGCCCTCGTTTTGCTTATCCTCCGTGCTACTGATTTAAGTAAGATTTTTGTTTTCTCCATTTAAACCTACTTCCAAATCGATTCATAGGTAGTTTAGATCCATGCCACCATGGCAAACGTGGCAGAAGTATACACTTCAGTTTACATGCATTTTAATATATCTTTATGCAAGTTGCAATCAATACTCTTACCTTCAGAATTGCTTGGGCCATTTATTTGACTTTCAGTAACTCACTTTATTTCTATCATCGCTCCTTTCAGCTCAAGAAGATTATCACGAACGTCAGATTAACCCACTCTCAGATTTGAGATATCTTCTCTAAGATTAGACACACCATCCATTAGATTTGATACCTCATCTTTTATACTCGCAACATTATTGGATTCACCATCTTGTAAAGTGGACACGTCGTCTTGTTGAGTGGACACATCATCCCTCAGATTGGACACATCATCCCTCAGATTGGACACATCATCCCTCAGATTTGACACCTCATCTCTTATACTTGCAGAATCGTCTTTCATATCTGTTTTCAATTTTCGATTAGGAGTTGCATTGCTTCTTCTAGGTTCTCAAATTCATCTCTAATGATTTGTCCAGTACCTTGGCCACCACCGCCATTTTGTTTTTTGCTTTTAGATTCAACAGTAGTTAAACAGCTTAGGTAAAAAATTGCCCAACCGTATGCTATAGCACACTGCATGTTTATGATGACACGAACTATTTTGAGTTTAATTAGAAAAATGGTAAGAAATTTTAATTGATCATTATCAGCAAATGTTGAAATAATTTACATACTGTAATCATGGTAATGGTCCATTACTGAGAAAAAGGAATAATAAAAGTCTGTGGCAAAGAATTGTCAGTATAACCTTTGTTATGAATGAAATATTATTAATGTACAAGTATTTAGATTGGTAACATAAGCAAATGTGAAAGTTTAATGAATCTAAGTTTATCTGACTTCAAACGAATAATGAGGTAGAAACTCATTAAGGTCCTTCATTTTATCACGGCGACTCATGATTTAGAGATCACGCCAGATTGCATTATGCTAAATCGCATGAATCCAGTGAGATTAATATGATAATGCTATTGGATGTCCGTGATTTCCGAAATTATTTTTTCAATGTTACATGTACGTATATTACAATACAGGTACATGTTACATGTACGATTTGTCAAATTCATTTAAATACAATACGCGCTCACCCAAACGCATACACAGCCCTGATCAAGGTTCAGATGATGAGTGAACAATGTCAAAAAGTGGAACATCAAGTGATAAAAGATGAAAATGATGAGAATCAATGTGAGTCTAAAGCTCAACACTAAAAAAGATTTGTTTTTATATGATATCAAGTAAAAAGGAAAAAATATATATATAGGTTATTTGCTGGGAGGGATTGAACATGGGTTTTATTCCTCTGAAAATCCTTCGGTCAATATTATATTGTCCCTCGGAATAAAACCCATATTCAATACCGACCAGAAATAACCTATTTATTCCATAATACATCCCTCTAAAATGTTACATATGGATAATGAAAATAACCGGGAAAAAATAACAGGGAAACCAAAAATAGGTGAATATGCTCCAATACAATTTTTCCCGGGGACAGGGATTTGATATGGGGAATATCACAAGGATGATACACATATCATCGCGACCGGTAAATAACGACCGTATACCATGGTCAAGAGCAATATCAACCCCAAATCGTCAGTTGAATTAAAAAAAGGATTGAATTTGGAAATATTTACGTTACATATTATCCAACTTCAAAGTACATTGAGAATTTAAGGGCAAGAAAAAAATTAGGCTTGAAATAATTTAAAAAATGATTATTTTAATCAAAAAATATATAAATATTTGAAAATTCATTTTTTGGAAAAAATTATGATCTTTGAAAAAATGTTTTTTTCGAAAAATGAAAAAAAATGAAAAATGAAAAATTCTAAAAATGATTTTTTGGGAAAGATGTAAAATTTTTGAATTTACTCGAGATGATATTAATCATCCCTGATAACATCCCTCTAATCCTGATATCATCCCCGTCCCAAATATGTGATTTATCACTTGCGACTGATTCAGATTATTTCTCTGACCATGGTATAAAAAGTATTTATAAGCACGCTATACATGCAAGTGCGGTTGCGAAATCTCTATTGTATTTGAGATTGTTAAGAATGGTTTGATATGACAATTGAACACATGGCTTTTAATTTTGTCACCTCCGCAGTCAGCCCCATAGATATGATTCTATTTTTTAGGATGTCTCCCGGACAAACGTGAAAACGATGAACAATAACCCTTAATTTTTATTTTCAAAAAATATATATTTTAACGGGCAATAAAGAATATTAAAATTATAAATTATATGTTAGTATGCTCTTTTCTTAGCAAGGGGCATATAAAGTGTCAATATTTGACAAAAGTGGACTTTCGCCCCCAAGACACACTTTGGAGTACTTAACCGTTTCTTAAACTCACAGTAATAGTTGGTTTTGACATGTACTCTCATTTTGAATATTTGAGAAATAAGTTAAATACTATCAAAAATAGTAAACACCACGTCATCAGGTCATAGTATGACTTATATATCAAATCTTTTATTCTTTCCACTGAATTTAAACCCAACGTTGTTTTAAAAGTCAGAAAATGTTAACAAACCTATAATAAAATGAATGTATGCATCTAGAATGCGTACCTGATAGTACTATTTGTTTAGTTTAACCACGAGCTTTCCAGCTCATGAAAGCCCATGGTGGTTTGACAATTAGATCAATCATTTTTGAAAGAGCTACGTCACCGTGTACAAATCTCTGCCTACTATATGAGGTCGGTCCAGGGTTCAATTTATATAAGGTGCACTATATCAATAGTGGAGAGGTTAAGCTAACGATGTTTTTCACAACGTAACCGTGAACGCAAAGTACAAAAATTAACAAAGGAATGTATCGAGCGCTCATAGTTTTATGCGCGCTTAGTCTACTTCAGATACTCTTTCAGCTTCAGAGTTTCGGGTTTAGAACGGGAGATTTTGAAATTTGACGTTGGGTCAACGGGAACCATTTTACTCGTGTCTATTGAACACTATGCTGTCAATTTTGATTTCGATGCACAGTTGAATTCTTGCTGAACACGATGATGTATGTCATGCATGATTTAGCGCCAAAAATCTTACGAAACGAGCTCGTTTAAAATATGTATTAGAAAACCAGCTATAAAACCGCATCAATGACATACTATAGAATCATTACACGCTATGGTGTAGTCTAAACAAACACTGGATTTGAACGGCTATTTATATGAGAAGGCTACATGAATTTGTATATGGTCGAGTGATACGTACAGGTTCAGTTTCGATTATATATGCAAAGCTTAACCTCTCCAGTCAATACACAACGGCAACTTCGCGCAGTAGTTTATCCCACTCAAAGGAGTGCATTTGTCGATTGATGTATTTTGTTTCAATTTAGCTTCCATGTTGAAATTCTGTTTGAGATTTATGTAAAATCCTATTACGACTTGCCGATCATCCTAAATCATATCATAATCCAACATGGCAGCCCATGTAAAAATCTGTGAAAATACATTATCGAACTCTAGTGGTATCTTTAGCAACGTCATTTATAAAATAATAAGTTGCAATTTTCTGGACATTTCTGTCAAAATTATAGTCAGTAGAGGATATTAGAGGTTGATGCTTGAAAGTGATTTTGGTGATAAATGTATGTACAAAGCAACTGTACTTGTAGATATACATTCTTGATTTCTATACTTGCACTAATTCGAAAAGGCTATTATATTCCGCATTTCTGTGAATTTTGAAATTTCGCTGCTATTCTCTAATTTTCAGTTTTTGAAATTTTACGACTATCAATATCCGCGCATTTGTAACTTCTCAGAAATCCAGCTTCCTTTTTGTGTTGGTGATTCCTAAAAAACGGGTGATGAAGTCGTTAGGGGAGACCCTACAAAATATAATATATAGTTTATTAGATGGAATGAATTAAAAGATACATCCCTTATAACACTGGGCGACAATACTGTCAACACGGAGCGAAATAAATTATCTTGAATGAGCTTGAATTTGGCTGAAATAATGTTTTGCGAATTTTCCGAATCTCTTGAAAAGCGCGAATATAGTAGCACGCGAAAATTACCGGGAGTTCAGTATTTCAAGATTTTTAGAAAGAAACTGGATCAATGGTGTACATATATAGTAATCTATCCGAGCAAACGCGTACGGCCAGACGGACTGACGGATGTCTATATCCCCTTAACTCTCGTTCGTTCTTTCGGCGATAGTAAACTAGAAATCATCTCGTTGATCAAAATAGTAGAACGCTTATCATTCAGTACAAATTGACACAATTTAACAGACACAACACCTGATCTTCAAAATGGTAAAAGCAAAAAAGTTTATTCTTAAAGAGCCTTTTGACGGCTTTCCAAAACGAAGTGACTTCGAACTTCAGGAAGAGGATCTCCCAGCGTTGCAGGATGGAGGTACATGTATATTCATATTCTCTTTTCTTTCCATTGAAAAATTAGATAGTGTTCGCAAGCAGCAGTGCAATTATCATCATGGCATAAATACTTTATACAGATTAAAATGCTGCTTCCTGCAAATTACAAGGGTATTTTTGTGCCTCTTCTTTCGAATAAAAATTAGGGATATAATATTACATAGCTTATCGTCGAAATATGTCTTTTTCTATCGTGAGTTATGCTGCGTCATCTCGCGGTTCTATGTTTGCCATGTCATCTTTATTTAGTTTTTGCCATGTCATCTCCATTTAAACATGGATGTTCATTTTTCAAACTAGTACTGTTTTCTCACTAAAAAACGGATGAGTTAACATTTTAGTTGTCATTTTTATCTGGGTTGCCGTGTCAACTTTTGCCGAGAGGGCTTGAGCGCCAGCACGTTTAGGCTAGGCGATTGGGGCGGTTCGAGACGCGTGTGCTCCTTGCGTTTATTCATTTATGTGACACTTGGCATTCTTTTTCATTTCCATTTACACATACATACTCGTTTTACTGTAACAATTAGTGTTACCTGTTCATATGTGATAAATACTTATGCTGCTTTTCCTCATATGATGTCAGCTTAAAGGAAACATATACCTAAATATTTGTTATACTGCTTTTACTAATATTGCAGAATACCTTGCCGAGGCATTGTTTCTGAGCGTGGACCCGTATATGAGGTAAACTTTCATGTCAAAATATTTGCTATGTTGCTGTTCTTTCATACTTAGGAGAACATTTTATTTAAAGATACAATATATGTATATGAAAGACAATGGTGTGTTATGGTTTTTCATTGAGATTCCAGGTGGATGAAAATATGTACAGTATATGAATGCCAATAAGTGCAACCAGTAGTCTATTGGCTGTCTAAACAATACAATTAAGAATATACACTTGTATTTGGAAAATACTGCTTAATTAGCATGCACTTGGCAGTTATTGTCACGTGGTATATCATCTGAAAGACGACTGAGTGAGGAATCCTGAAATTTTGAATACATATATCACTATTTTCCAATCGTATTATTTAAAATGACGATTATACTTTTATATATACTATGCTTGTTTTTATTCTAGAGAATATATGGCAAGATTTCCCCCTCGTTCAATAATGGTAGGGATTCAAGTAGCAAAGTAAGTGACCCCTTCGTGACACACTTCTCAAATGCACATCTTACTTAAACAATCAACCCGAAGCAATACCATTTACCTACTAAAAACTACGAGCCAAAAACGTTATTTCCAGTGTCAAAGACACTGAATGGTACTCTAAGAAATGAAATGAAATTCCAATTAATCCCCTTGTAGACAATCTATTATATGCACGCATTATGAACAAATCACCTATCATTTTCTCCATGGTATATACTAACCAGCAACATAAAATACAAAACATGAAAATATGACGACACGAAGTGGGCTTACATAACATAGACTTGTGTATCATTTGATGCCAAAATGGCACCGAAATTTGGCACCGAAACGGCGTCGAAAATCAGATTGCATTTTGGGGATGTACCAGACCTCCGTTACATTCTGACCAACATTATATTGAGATTATGCCCATTAATTTTGTTTGTACTGCATGTAGAGTGTTAGAAAGCAGAAACAAGGACTACACCCCTGGTGAACTTGTTGTACTGCAGTCAGGCTGGAGGACGCATACCATATCAGATGGGAAAAAGAACGACGACTACAAACTACCTCCAATGGGCGACCTAAGTCCTTCATTGGGCTGTGGGTCTGTTGGAATGCCAGGGTAAGACATCTTGGAAAAAATCAGCATGGAGAAATGTCTGAAAAATATCTATGATTTATCAAATGTAAAGGCTTTCCATGGATTAGTTGTACATACCGCACAGAAAGAAATCGAATAGTATCTTTACCGAATGCAATGGTCCATGGTATGACTCTGTAATATGAAGAATCCGTAGCACAATAAAGGGCAATGTCATTTGAACCAATTTAAAGGAAGTCCATATGTTTTGATTATTTTGAAATACGGTTTGTTGAAAAAACTTCATTCTTTTGGGGCGAAATATGTCTCTCATTACAAGGGGTCAAAAACATTTTAATTCGAATTTTTACACATTTTATAAGACCCAAAACGTTGATCTAAGCATATTGACATTAAATTGGATTATTATTATGAAAATATTAAGTATTATTTTGATGTAATTCTGGTAGTTAGTTAGTGTAATTACATAAGTGTGCTCTTAAGTTTTTGTTTATTTTCTCAAATATTGGCCAAGTAGATTCAACAAAATTGTGTGAATTAATTATTGTGTAATAAAAAGCATAAAACAATGCCACATATGTAAAATATATATCTATTTGAATGTGATACAGGTATTTGAACGTTTATATATTCACAGGGTATGTCTATTAGTCTATAAGAGGTATATGCAATCAAACTCCATTACTTTCTCCTTCGACGTTACTTACTATACTGCATATCATCACATTTTTCGATGATTATATCTTTTTCGACATTACTGCTAGTTATCATCACATTTTTGGTGAACATCAAAACCATATTTTCTCAAAGCTTCGTGAATTCGACCATGTCTTGTTGATTGATATATAAACGACTAAGCAATATCTAACTAGGGGGCAAAACAATTGTAGCCGTAGCTGCAGTTAGTCAAGGAAGAGCAATACGTCCTCCTTTATTGATAAGTGACCCCTGACGATGACAGTCCCGATCTTTAAACGTATTAAGACCAATTTTTAAAAAGAAACTACCATACTTTAAGCATATTTCATTTTAATATAAAAACGATTCCTATACCATTTACATCACCAATATTGAAGAAACAATTCTAATATGTTGATGTACCGATTTGGTAATTTGTCAAATTTATAGTTCAGAAACCTAAAAACATACACTCAAAATTGATTCAAATGATTTCCTGTAGCATTATGTCCAAATTGTAAAAAGGGGATTCAGTTTTTACATTTTTACTTGTTCAAATGATACGCATAATTTAGCCAAAAAGCCCAAAGAATATTGAACGGCTATAATAAAAAAAATACTGGACATGTGTAGGTATATAAGTAAAGCAATACTTGGTATGTGTAGGTCTGTAAATATAAGGTCAAATATCGCTGCGCTATTTTGCGTTACCAGCTCCTTCATTAGGCGTCCTGGGAATTTCATACCATAGACTCTAAATATATGTTTAAAATTTGTTCTTTAATATGTTTAGTATGACTGCCTATTTCGGGTTCCTAGAATTGTGCCAACCTAAGGCGGGAGAGACCGTAGTGGTCTCTGGCGCTGCAGGAGCTGTAGGAAGCCTGGTTGGACAAATTGCAAAATTAAAGGTATAAAAATAGAAGGGAATTAGCCAGAATTCAAAGATGAATCTTGATGAATCTTTACGTAAATATAAACAATTAAGTTTATCTTTACATAAAATTGGTTCATATTTGAATTCAGGTTTACATCCAACTACTAGGTATAAAGTGGCGCCCTATACAAATCCACGTTTCCCGTAGAATCGATATCACTAACTATAGTATATAGCAATGTTCGATGCCCTCTTACTAATGTCATTCGAGCAATATCACTTAAATACAGAAGAACTGAGATAAGAACCACTGGTGTTTTCGATATTTGAACAAAAATCATATAATGTTTACTCTAAAAATTATTTAACACGTCAATACAGCCACATTTATGATTTCAGAAATGTAAAGTGATTGGGTATGCTGGAACTGACGCAAAGTGTGAATGGCTGAAGGAACTTGGTTTCGATCATGCTTTCAACTATAAAACTACGGACATAGCCCAGTCTCTAAAGGAAGCAGCTCCCGAGGGAGTCGACTGCTATTTTGATAATGTAAGAATTGGGTACACACCTCCTATAATATATTTAGGATGCCACTAGGATGGTCCTTGTTTTATTTCACATTTCCATTGTTTCATCATTTCGTAACAACAGTTGTATTTCATTAGTACTTGAAGCGCATTAATGCGCACTTGTTTATGGGGAAAACTCCGAAAGAAAATAATTTGTTTTGCTTCATTGTTCTTCATAGGTTAGAGGCATGACTACGGTGACAGTAATGAATCAAATGAATATATTGGCAGGATTCAGTTCTATTTGCAATTTGTTTTGTTACATTGTTCTTCATAGGTTGAAGGCATGACTACGGTGACAGTAATGAATCTTATGAATCTATTTGGCAGGATTCAGTTCTGATTGTAATTTGTTTAGCTACATTGTTCTTCATAGGTTGGGGGCATGACTACAGTGACAGCGATGAATCATATGAATCTATTGGGCAGGATTCAGTTCTATTTGTAATTTGCTTTGCTATATTGTTCTTCATGGGTTGGTGGCATGACTGCAGTGACAGTGATGAATCATATGCATATATTGGCAGGATTCAGTCTATTTGTAATTTGTTTTGCTACATTGTTCTTCATGGGTTGGTGGCATGACTGCAATGACAGTGATGAATCATATGAATATATTGGCAGGATTCAGTTCTGTTTGTAATTTGTTTTGCTACATTGTTCTTCATAGGTTAGGGGCATGACTACAGTGACAGTGATGAATCATATGAATCTATTTGGCAGGATTCAATTATATTTGTAATTTGTTTTGCTACGTTTCATAGGTTGGAGGCACGACTGCGGTGACAGTGATGAGTCATATGAATCTATTTGGCAGGATTCAATTATATTTGTAATTTGTTTTGCTACGTTTCATAGGTTGGAGGCACGACTGCGGTGACAGTGATGAGTCATATGAATCTATTTGGCAGGATTCAGTTCTGATTGTAATTTGTTTAGCTACATTGTTCTTCATAGGCTGGGGGCATGACTGCAGTGACAGTGATGAATCACATGAATCTATTTGGCAGGATGCAGTTCTATTTGTAATTTGTTTTGCTACGTTTCATAGGTAAGTGGCATGACTGGGGTGACAGTGATAAATCATATACTAGTACATCTATTTGGCGGCAGGATTCAGTTCTGTTTGTAATCTTTACTACATTGTCCTTCAAAGGTTGGAGACACAACTGCGGTGACAGTGGTGAATCACATGAATCTATTTGGCAGGATTCAGTTATATTTGTAATTTGTTTTGCTTCATTGTTCTTCATAAGTTAGAGGCATGATTACGGTGACAGTAATGAATCAAATGAATATATTGGCAGGATTCAGTTCTATTTGCAATTTGTTTTGTTACAATGACGTGTCGCAAAAAGCTCGCGCACGCATTTTTACACATTTTGTGGCGTAATCCAGAGGATCCTCGCTTTTAACATGATAGAATGTGACGTTTTTGAGAAAAATGTACACACATGAAAATCCTTTCGTCCTCCACATTTACCTCTATATCTCAAAACATTTTAGACGAATAACTCTGATATCATATATATATTGTTAATGGGCTAGGAGCATCATAAAACACGAATCAATTGATATTTTAGGTGAAATAAATATACGTGTTGCTGTGCTTGAAAATAGGCGAATGGCGAAAATTTGCCCTATTTTAATGAATTTTGAAAACCTTTCGTCCTCCACTTTTCCACATACAACAGAAAACACATTTTTTTGTGAACAAAATCAACTATTTATTAATAAACTAGAGTTTAGGAGCAAAATAATCATGTATGATTTATTAGAAATTGATCTCGTATTTTTTGTTTATGTACACCTGAAAAGTTGAAGGTACCAAAAAATGAACAAAAAAGGTCGCTGTCAACAGATTCTATTTTTCAGACTCTATGAAGTCACAATATGGGACGCTTACTAAAATTCATCCTTTGAAATAAAACTTCCATCTACCTTTATCAAGACGAAAAATAAGTATAATAGTCATATATTGTTTGAGTTATGAGCGTTTAAAGACGAAAAATAATTCAAAATGTAACGTGTCAACATGGGATATTTGCCAGATGTTTTGGTAAAAAACTCTTTTTTAAAAACGAACGCGCAAAAAATGTGAACGGAGTGTAGTTGATCTAAAATCCTCATCGAAACAGCTTTAAAATGATATGTATAACTATGATTAGAATATTATCTTATAATCCGGGGAATCAAAGTTACATTCACGCGATACCCTTAAAAAACAAATGCGCCACCTTTTTGCGACACGTCATTGTCTTTATAGGCTGAGGGCATGACTACGGTGACAGTAATAAATCTTATGAATCTATTTGGCAGGATTCAGTTCTGATTGTAATTTGTTTAGCTACATTGTTCTTCATAGGTTGGGGGCATGACTACGGTGACAGTGATGAATCATATGAATCTATTTGGCAGGATTCAGTTCTATTTGTAATTTGCTTTGCTTCATTGTTCTTCATAGGTTAGAGGCATGACTGCGGTGTCAGTAATGAATCAAATGAATATATTGGCAGGATTCAGTTCTATTTGCAATTTTTTGCTACGTTTCATAGGTTGGGGGCATGACAGCGGTGACAGTGATGAGTCATATGAATCTATTTGGGAGGATTGCGAACTGTGGCGACATCTCATCTTACAATGATACAGAAGTTGCAACAGGTAACTTATTTTAATTGAAAAAATCAGGAAAGGTTGAAGGAGGCTTATCGGAAATGAAAATGAAAACGTTAACGGGCCCGTTCAGTTTCAAAAGTTTTCCATATATTTAAAAAATTATTAATTTGATACAAAGTATATCTATTCAAACTATGAAAAATCTATTCGGAAACACGAAAGTTAATTGTGATACTTTTCAGGAGGTCAGGAAGGGTCTGAAAGTATTCGACTCAAAGTTTTAGTAAAAAGTGGTTTGAATCGATTATGATATTTTCTTTTTCATGTCGCCTCCTAGTGTCCAGCCATATCAAGGCTACCTATCAAGGCTATCTGCCTAGGATAGACTTTTTGTTCAAAATAATGATATCTATCGGAAGAGCACTTTTGTTAGCCAACAACGACATTCGTCATGGACGTTTCGTGGAGAATCTATCTAGTAAAAAAGATCGACCAAATCTGAAAGACTTCTACTTAGTACGATGAGTGTACTGTACTGTTTTCTTGTTATTGTTTAAACACTTGTACCATCGGATGTTATTCAGGTCCTTATATATTCGGGCTGATGGTCAGTAAACAGCTACGCAGTGAAGGGTTTATTGTACACCGATGGAGAGATAGTTGGCCTAAAGGTCTGATGCAAATGATAGAGTGGATAAAAGAGGTCAGGCATTTACTTCATGTTCAAAATGATACAAAAGCTTTATAAAAAACAATCGAAAGATCAAGAAAGAAATTAATAGAAGGCCATGGTTTCTCATGATGATTTGGTTAGGCGTATCCAATTGCAACGGGGCTTTCGAAGGTCCCCCTTTCTAGTATAAATAACCATTCTGTAATTGTAGGGTAAGGTGAAGGTCAGAGAGCACGTGACACAAGGATTCGAGAAAATGCCCGAGGCTTTCATGGGAATGCTTCGCGGAGAAAACACTGGGAAGGCAGTTGTCGCTGCCGAGTCATCGTATGAGAAGTACACAAAACTTGGACAAACCATGTCATAAACTACAAAAATGAGGCCCGGTCATCATCCTTGGTCTAAGGGTGTTTCACCATTTGCTGCATTGTAGCAACATAGTCCATTGATGAAGGGTGCCTAGTATATTTAGATGGAGATTACCAATACATCGGACTGATGCACATAACCTAGGATGAAGACTTTTCACACAATGCTATGAATTTTTATGACAACTGTGATGTGGTAAAATAAATATTGTTATTTAAAACATTCATTTTAGTGGTACTTTGGAGAGTATCCTAACACGGGGAAACATTTCTCAAAAGTTCACGATATAGTAGGATCGTCCAGCAGGGCATTTCAATATGCACACAGTTTGAGGGGGAGGGGGGGATTTTTGATGTTTGTAGTTTCATAAAAAGGATGGAAAGAGGTTTTTAAATTTGAACTCTCTACTGGCCAGCAACTGATAATTGGTAGCATAAAAAGAAAAAATGTTAACCAAAATTAAACTTAGCTTAATATTAACTTAATATACATGTATATTAGGGCCTATATATCGGGTGTCTCAAATAAATGTACCCAAAAGTATATCAATAGCACTGATAAACCAATCAATATTTTCAGACATTTTTTGCATGATCATGTAGCCAAAACATGAAAGTTTTCTCCCCAATACACAATTTTATTTCAGTCTTGCCTTTTTGATGCTTTAACCCTTTACCTTTAACACCACATAATCAATGTAACCTCATAGTTCGATGACAGCCTGTATCCCTACTGCTACATTGTTCATCACATTTAATAATAATTCCGGTGGAATGTTTTGGATTTCTCTTTGGATGTTGCCCTTAAGTTGTTCTAGGTCTTTTTGCTTGGAATGTGCAAATACATACGAGGTGCATCGAATCACTTGAAACACAATGAAATGGGATCAAACGACAACCTTTTAACAATAATTCGTCTGACAAATTACTTACTTAGATGTCGGAGTAAAACGTAGAGGTTGTAATCTTACCTTCCGAGTGAAACAATTGTATATTAGCCTTTTTGCCGACAGTGTCAGATTCCTCGATGTTGTCATTTGATTGTTCACTCAAATGGGTCTTTATTTCTATCATCGATCCTTTCAACTCAAGAAGATTATCACGAACGTCAGATTCACCCACTCTCAGATTTGAGATATCTTCTCTAAGATTGGACACACCATCTCTTAGATTTGATATCTCATCTTTTATGCTAGCAACATTATCAGATTCACCATCTTGCAAAGTGGACACGTCGTCTTGTAGAGTGGACACGTCATCCCTCAGATTGGACACATCATCCCTCAGATTTGACACCTCGTCTCTTATACTTGCAGAATCTTCTTTCAGATCTATTTTCAGTTTTTCGATTTTGAGTTGCATTGCTTCTTCTAGGTTCTCAAATTCATCTCTAATGATCTGTCCAGTGCCCTGGCCACCACCGCCTCTTGGTTTTCTCCCTTTAGATCCAACAGCAGTTAAACACACGAGGTAAAGAATTGCCCAACCGTAGGCTAAGGCACATTGCATGTTTATGATGATACGAACTATTTTGAGTTTTTTAGAAAAGAAAATTTAATTGACCATAATTACCAAATGTTGTAATAAATTACATTCGGTAATGGGCCATTACTGAGAAAAGGGAATAACAAAAGTCTGTGGCAAAGAATTGTCAGTATAACCTTTGTTATGGAATGAAATATTATTAATGTACAAGTATTTAGATTGGTAACATAAGCAAATGTGAAAGTTTAATGAATCTGACTTCAAACGAATAATGAGGTAGAAACTCATTAAGGTCCTTCATTTTATCACGGCGACTCATGATTTAGAGATCACGCCAGATTGCATTATGCTAAATCGCATGAATCCAGATTCATATTATAATGCTATTGGATGTCCGTGATTTCCGAAATTATTTTTTCAATGTTACATGTACGTATATTACAATACAGGTACATGTTACATGTACGATTTGTCAAATTCATTTAAATATAATACGCGCACACCCAAACGCATACACAGCCCTGATCAAGGTTCAGATGATGAGTGAACAATGTCAAAAAGTGGAACATCAAGTGATAAAAGATGAAAATGATGAGAATCAATGTGAGTCTAAAGCTCAACACTAAAAAAGATTTGTTTTCATATGATATCAAGTAAAAAGGAATATATATATACAGGTTATTTGCTGGGAGGGATTGAACATGGATTTTAATGACCACCATGGTTATATTTACAATTCTACTGACAATTCCTGGAATAATTCCTTTTGTGAATTTACTTAGTCCATTCATAATCAGGCAACTTTTGTTACTTGCTGGGGATGTTGAGGTAAATCCAGGTCCCTTAAACAAAGTTAATGTGTTATTTACTAATATTAATAGCATCTCAGCGGATAATAGAAGTCGGTTTGAAAGCTTAAGTATATTTTTGAAGGAGGAGGGGGTCCATATAGCTGGAATTAGTGAAGTGGGGACAAATCTTAACCTAGCTGATTATAACATAGATGGTTACCACACCTTGAACCAAGAACTCTATAATAACTCGGGACGCGGGTTGCTTATTTACATCCATGAATCTATTTCATATAGAATTCGCAATGACCTAAATAATGCAAACCTAGAGTGTCTCTGGGTTGAAACTAAGGTAAAAAATGAAAAACTTCTCTATGGCCTCTTTTATCGTTCACCCTCCCAATCTGCAATCTCAAGAGATCAATATATGCATAACCTTGATTCGAATATTAGAGCTGCTTTATCAGTGAAATCTGACTTTGTTATCTTTGGTGGCGATTTTAATTCAAGAAGTCAAAAATGGTGGGTTGGTGATACTAATACTTTAGAAGGAAATATGCTTTATGATGTGAGTGTGAATAATTCTCTGACCCAATTCATTGAGGAGCCTACTAGAATTACAGCCACTTCTAGCTCATGTTTGGATTTAGTTTTCTCAAATTTTCCTGGAAAGGTATTAAAATCTGAGGTAAAACTGCCAATTGGGGGTTCTGACCATAGCTCTGTTTCAGCACTTTTAGATTTCTCTCTGCCTGATAGACATGCAGGGGATTATAAGCAGATCTGGCATTACAGTGATGCTAACATTTTACAGTTGAATCAAGCTGTATCTGATTTTAACTGGGATGCACTTTTATCTCACGAAGACATTGATACTGTCACTGTAAATTTTACCAATGCATTGTTTGAGATTTTTCAAACTTATATTCCATCCAAAGTGAAATTTATAAAGAAAAGTGATATGCCCTGGTTTAATCATGAAGTGAAATCAGCATTAAATAAGAAAGATAAATTGTATAGAAAATTAATTAAAAATAGAAATGATTTTAACTTCACAACATTTAAACATCAATGTGATTTAGTCTCAGATGCAATTGTTCATGCAAAAACCAGTTATCAGGACAAGATGTGCAGTAATCTTGATGAAGAGGCAGCTAGTAAGAAAAATTATTGGACCATCATTAAAAAATTAATAGGTTCTAAATTTGCATCAGGAATTCCTTTTTTAGAGATTAACAGGACGATCATTGAAGATGACCATGCTAAAGCTAATGCATTTCTCCATCAATTTTTACAGAAATTTCATCACAACATTGTTGATCAAACTTTACCAACTTGTCAAAGAAAAACTGATAACATGCTAAATGAAATTGATCTTTCACAGCAGTCAATAAATAAACATTTGAGGGAGCTTAAATCAAACAAAAAGGGGGGTGATGATAACATTACAAATAAAATGCTTAAACTGGTGGCAGATTCACTTGATGCAGAACTTCATAAACTTTTTAAACTCATTCTTACTAAAGGCAAATTTCCTAATTGTTGGAAGCAGGGCATTATTGTCCCCATTTTCAAAAATAAATCCTCAAAAGTTGACCCAGGGAACTATCGGCCAGTTTGCCTTTTAAGTAATATTTCCAAAATTTTTGAACGCGTCATATATGATTCAATATTCAAACATGTGTCATCTAACAATCTTTTGTATCAGAACCAATCCGGGTTTTTACCTGGGCATGACACTCAGAAACAACTTGTATCTATTGTAAATATGATTACTTCAAATTTTGACCATAATATTTCTACTAGAGGGATCTTTCTTGATATTGAGGGTGCGTTTGACGGCGTCCCCCACTACTTACTTCTCCATAAGCTAAAATCATACGGTATCTGTGAGAACATTATTAATCTGATAGGGTCCTACCTTAATAACAGAAAATTAAAAGTTAGGGTGAATGGTACAACTTCAATAAATTCAGATACTCTATATGACAATATTGATGGGACAATGGAAGGGATTCTAGGGACAGGAGGAAGGGATTTAGGGGGGTTTGACAAAGGAGTAATAAATTGTGGGGTTCCTCAAGGGTCAATATTAGGTCCCCTGTTTTTCTTACTTTATATCAATGACCTAGCCGATGCAGTTTTAAATAGCACTCTGTACCTTTATGCTGATGATAGCTCAATTTTTCTACCTGTCAAAAAGGAGGACTCAGTTCATGAAACTTATCTAAAACTCCAAAGCGATGTTAATAGAATAGAGATCTGGTCAAAGACTTGGAAATTAAAATTTAAGACAAGTAAAAGTAAGGAAGTGTTTTTCCAGTCCAGAACTAGAACTCCAATTGCTCAAATTCCTATTGTGTTAAATGGTGACTCTATCCCTTTCACCAATAGTCACAAACATCTTGGACTTATTTTAGACAAGGCTTTAAACTTTGAAGAACACATTAACAGTATAATTGTTAAATGTAACAGGATGTTGAACCCACTTATGGCACTAAAACATAACTTAAGATCACAACATCTAGAGAAGATTTATATGGCATTTATACTACCTCACTTAGAATATGGGAATATCATTTTTGATTGTGCAAACTTAAATTTACTTTCTAAATTGGATAGTATTCAGTATAGGGCAGCATTGATTGTCAGTGGATGTACCCAAGGTACAAATGCAACCAAAGTCACCTCATGCTTAGGTTGGAGGTCCCTAGGGGCCAGAG